GTACTCACCGGTGCTACAAGCGCTGTTTGAACGCACCATTCACACCTTTATGCACTCCTCAACTGCTGTCTATTTAAACCTCTATGCCTACTGCTGTGCGGGCGCAGCTCCCCGCGAGGCCTTACAGATGCTCGTCACAAGTGTAGTCTAATCAGTCGACCAATTTTCCACATGCACGTGCTTCGCGATCATCACATATTGACAGCACCGGACCCAGGCAACAGTACAGCAGTAGTTATCGCTTTGTTTTAGTAATTTATCCTTGTGTATTCTCTGCATATACTGCTGCCGTGATGCGTTGCTGCGGGCCGATCACACTCCCTGCACGAATACAAAGCCCCTGTAGGCGCTCTCACAAGTGTAATCAGTCGACCGAATTTCCACATGCACGAGGTTCGCCATCATCACATATTGACAGCACCGGACCCAGGCAACAGTACAGCAGTAGTTATCGCTTTGTTTTAGTAATTTATCCTTGTGTATTCTCTGCATATACTGCTGCCGTGATGCGTTGCTGCGGGCCGATCACACTCCCTGCACGAATACAAAGCCCCTGTAGGCGCTCTCACAAGTGTAATCAGTCGACCGAATTTCCACATGCACGAGGTTCGCCATCATCACATATTGACAGTACCGGACCCAGGCGATACTACAGCAGTAGATATGGTTTTGTTTTAGTACTTTATCTTCGTGTGCGTTCTGCATAAACTCTGCTACAGTACAATAGTGCCCTGCTGCGAGCCAAAAACACTCCCTGCACGAATACAAATACAGTCGACATCTGTGCTCGCGATCCCCTTCAACTGATCCAAACATCCATGCACCACGNCCCAGGCGATACTACAGCAGTAGATATGGTTTTGTTTTAGTACTTTATCTTCGTGTGCGTTCTGCATAAACTCTTCTACAGTAGCGCCCTGCTGCGGGCCAAAAACACTCCCTGCACGAATACAAATACAGTCGAAATCTGTGCTCGCGATCCCCTTCAACTGATCCAAACATCCATGCACCACGCCGCGTGTTACTTCATCTGTTTATACCTTGAAAAAATTACCGGCTGCACTGCCATTACGCACATCAACATATACCGGGGGCGGGATCAGATAGGGCTCCCTGTGCTTTGCATTGATCTTTTCCTGTCAAACTTTGCTGCTGCTGTCGTATGAAAATGTTTCACATGAACTGACGCCTCGACCCGAAATCCCAATTTCACACAGGAAAATCGCGCAACAGCCTCGGCAAGCTAAACGCCGTGGAGGAAAGGAATTTCAAGCGACAGCGGCTGGCCGGTTCGGACGCGACCCGCGCAGGCTTCACGCTAGAGTCGACGCTTTCCAGGCGCGAGAGACGTTCGGTGGCCCGGGGCTGGAGCAAGAGGGAAGGAAAGCTTCGACGGGACTTCGACAAGCGGGATAAGATTAGGGAAGGGTACGAAGGGAAGGCAAAGGGCTCGAAGCAGTACCTGTGGGAGCGGGGATGGTGGAACGAGGGGATGAATGCGTCAGTGGGGATCGCTGACGAGAAGAACGTCGAGAAAGTCTTGCAGGCACTGACGGATATTGAGAGTGAGAGGACGGCGCTGCAGTACTTGGTCGAGAGCAGGGGACACATACTTTTG